AGACTCTAGAAAGAGTGCAGAGAAGAGCAACAAAGATGATTAGGGGACTGGAGACTAAAACATATGAAGAACGGGTTGCAGGAACTGGGTATGTCAAGTTTAATGAAAAGCAGGATTAAGGGTGACATGACAGCAGTGTTCCAATATCTCAGGGGCTGCCACAAAGAAGAGGGAGTCAAGCTATTCTCCAAAGCAGCTGAAGGAAGGACAAGATGGAATGGGTGGAAACTAGAACTTAGGAGAAATTTCCTGACAGCTAGAACAATTAATCAGTGGAACAACTTGCCTTCAGAAGTTGTTATTAATCCACTGGAACTTTTAAAGAAGAGATTGGACAGCCATTTGCCTCAAATGATATAAGGTTTCCTGGTTGAGCAAGGGGGTTGGATTAGATGACCTCCAAGGTTCCTTCCAATTCTGCTATTCTGTAATGTTCTCCTTCCCCCTCTCAGCTTTTTGATGGTCACTTTGACACCAAGATAGGACCTAAAGTGGACAGCGAGAGCTATCAGCGGATTGCTGCAAGCATTGGATGTGCCACAAACAATATACTATTCTTGACGGATGTCACTCGAGGTAATAAAGCTAGTGGGTGCTCCCTGGTGTGGTGAGAGGGTACATGTCTAATTGGTGCTAGTGGCAAGACGGGCCCGCGGGTCCTGAAGGTCAACACCGGTGTAGAGCAAAGTTTTGCAAAAATGATTGTCTTATGTAATTCCCCTGTTAGGGAATAAGAGCTGCAGAGGAGATGCATTGGATTTAAAACTGATTGAGTTGAATGTTTGACACCACCAGGTGGAGTTTGGAAACCTCTGTCCAGGCTCATGATTTTACAGCAACCACAACCCACTAAAGTCTGCTGTGTTACTTCCACAGTGTTGGAGTTGGAAATTGCCAGAAAAAGAAAAGGAAGGGGGAATATCCCTATTTTAATTCATCCCACATTTTTTAAAAAAAACTGACTTGCAGAGGTGGTATTCAGCCGGTTTAGACCGGTTCACCCGAACCACTAATGGAAATTGTGGACAGTCAAAGACTTATCTGTACATGGACCAAACAGGTGATATCCTGGAAGTAGACAGTTCAGTGCTGTCCGGCCATAAGCAATGGTGGCACAGTGGTTAAAGTAGGGTACTGCAGGCTACTTCTGCCGACTGCCAGCTGCCTGCAATTTGGCAGTTCGAATCTCACCAGGTTCAAGGTTGAATCAGCCTTCCATCCTTCCGAGGTGGGTAAAATGGTTCCACCACAAATCCGCGGAGACATAAGCGCGAAGACTAATTCGCGCCGTTCGAAGCGCTAAGGAAAAACGCGACCCTACCGCGATGACATAATCGCGGAGGGCAAATCTGTGCATTCCCAAGCACTCAGCATCCTAAACCTAACCCTAAACCTAACCCTAACTTAACCTAACCCTAAACCTAACCCTAAAACAAACCCCTAAACCTAATCCTAACCCTTCCCTTAATTTAAATCCGCTTTCTGCCGCCGCGCTGTTTTAAAGCTCCCTTCTGTCGCCGCGCTGTTGTCGCGGC